CTAACTGTTTGCTCCGGCCACCTATTAGCAGGTAACACTACTTTTCCTACCCCTAAATGGTTAATGAAACTTTTGTCTTATTTGCCACATTAACATGTCTTAATTATAATCATCAAATAGTGTTATTGGTATGCTCATGTTATAACATATGTATTTATTTATTAATTATTCTATGCTGGGTGTTCATAAAATACCAAATATCAAAACAATGAGATGGTGTCACGTCACATCAAAAATTTACCATTTATCGCATCCTTTAATAAGTACGAATGATGCTATTCAAAGTGATAAAAGCAATATAACTATTTGAAGAATTGTTCTTAGATATTCTTCTGACGCAGAAAAAATGCTTGTTATGTTGCAGGTAAAACACTAATATCTTCTAAGAGAAAACAAATAAAGATGGTGGTGTTATATATGGTACGTATATAGCATGGCAGATAGAGCTAGTAGAACAGCCAGGACTAATCCAGAAACTTAGCTTGTTGGGTTCTTTTTATCCCAGTTAGTCAAGTAGGCCAAGTTTAACTATATATGGATATGAGCTTATGAATATCATCTTTGATGTACTTTGTTTTGTGAGAACTTTCCATGTACTAATTAACTAGCCCCTTGTGCTTTTTTGAATTTCAATCCTTATCTAATTAATTCTAGTGATCAAATCCATATATGATGAAGACATAGCAACTTTTTCTGTGACATTCTAAATGCAAATTTGCTTGGCTCCTTCCCAATTATTTCTAAAAGTAGGAATATTCCTACAATATTTCTGCCAAACATATGACGTGCAGTAAAATAACTTGTCGAAAACACAAAAAGAAATTTACATGTATCAAACTGCGATCGGCTGGAATGTAAGAATTCTTATTTTCAAGTATATAAAGCAAGGACGACAAAATTTTATTAGTGAATAGTAAGTTTCTTCAAGTTTATAGCCAGCAAACTTGTAATTAAGCTGAATTATAGTATCACTAAGAGTTCTACTAATCAAGTTTACTTGAGAACCATGGCTGGCAGCATCACTAATGATCTTCTGTATGCCTTCAAGCTGGCACTATAAAAGCTGCAAATCACCAAAATGAAAAGTCTCTTACGAGCTAGCAAATCAAGATTTAGGCAATTTGAATTAACATCCGTCTCTTCTATTGCAAGACTGTGAATCTAAATTGTTAATAATCATGTTCATGAATACATAACCCAGCAATATAACTCTGACAAGAGAACGTTTCACTAAAAAGATAGAGACGTATGTACCTCCGCACTTGTAGCCCCTAGTACGTCTGGCAACATTGCAACGTTTGGGAATAGTGGCTGCAACATCAGGCCTAATTCCAAGGCTCTTGGCTTCTTTAGAAAGTAAGATGGAGCAAAGGCAGTTTGTGCGTACCTTGCTCACCACAGCACAGCACTTGTTAGGAACCGCCACGTTCTTGTCCTGTGACGACGCCGCACACGATGCTAGCTTGTACACCAGAACGTCCGGGTCCATCTCCCCACAGTCACCGCCGGCAGCCCCATCAACCCCTTCAATTAATCCCCAATTCTTGCCTGAAATTACAAACAAAGCCACCACCAAGCACCAGAACTTCCTCAATATCGCACCTCCTTCCATGTCTATTTTCTACAATTCTGTTAATGCATTATTTGCACATATATACAGATAAGTTCTCGGAAGACCACGATAGGAATAATTAATAGTTAATTACCAATTAATTAGTTTAATTAATACTTGATTACCTGGTTTTAAGAGTTTTTTAAAAGAATGATCGAGTCCTCCAAAAGGTTTAGTTCTAAGAAGTCAATAGGTTGGGACAGAGACTCGAAGTCTTGGCTATAATTTTGATCATATTATTTGAATTTTATGGAGAAAATACGAGGCAATGTCCTACTCAGTTGATTGAGTGGAATTGAAAATGGTTGGTGTACCGCCGCTTTCTTAGACTTCTTATTAATCGACAGAATTCAGTGGACCTAGTATTGGTATACAGCAGGTGTCTAGATATTGTTTCTATACTTTTTCTAATCTTACAAACGTCAGCGGAGGTATCGAACACAGGATATTAAGTGCATAAATAACTCGCAATAGTATATTAGCTTGGATCTCTCAAGGATGCTCCGGATCCTTTTTCTGGAATCCGGTGATCTAGACCATTTATCGTACATCGTGCAATTAGAAATCGTTTTAAATTTGAAATTTGAAATTAAATATAAATAATACCTAACGAAAACTGATCGCAGGATGTACGATGAACGGTCATAATCACGAGATCTCCCGGATCCCCAAGAAAAGGATCCGGTGAGAATCCTTTTCCCTTGATAAATTCAAGACACTAGTTTGTGCAGTGTTAATTTACTAACTAATCAGTACGAATTTGTAAGGTTCAATCAGCCGGTACTTAGGAACTCGACCTTCAGGGATTGCGCGACAGAATGTGTTGTTTTTGACCTAACTATATTCATGGAAGTTGAACCTGAAACCCTAAACCCTGCACTCCTTCACAGTCCTTGTACCAGGCACCGTCAGCGGCTTCAACGTCAGGGCATGTATAAGATGAAAATATGAACAGGTTGTGGCCTATCCTGTTTACTTGGCTGCAGCAATTAGCGGAAACTGCAGCATTTTGGTCCTGTGCTGCTGATGCACAGGTAACCAGCTTCATTTGCCAGCCCCATTTGCCCCTTTAAAGTTTTAAACTGACTTGTGACGAGAATTGCAAGAAACGCTACAAGTCATTGGAGCTTCCATTTCTTCAATGCTGAGCAGAAAACACTTCTCGACTTCCTGCTTTTATACAGCAATAACCAGCTCAAAGGATACTTGATTAGTTACCGAAAGATGAAACCCCCAAGGTATGGTGGAGGCAGCACTTGGATTTCGATTACCTGGCGACTTTAGGCCACTGAAAGTCATCACCTCTAACTAAAGTGCTTCCCACCGTTCCACAACTTTTGTCCTTTCAGAAAAGAGGCACACAAGGGCATCTCTTGAGCAACAGATAACACAGCATCGACCAATCTCACAGACATCCACGGCATCATCCTATTCCTACCTCAATCTGTTCCTCTAGACCATTTAGACCTATAATCAATAGACCGATACCCTGTAAATCATCGGTTTTCCTTTGGTGCTTCATTGCACGCTATGTTCGGTCAGTGGTAAACCAGTCCAGAGATCCAAGCTACCACTTTTAAAGAGCAAAGCAATGCAGTAGTGGAACGATGTGAAAAACTGAAACCGCATTTGCACCAAGTGCAGCACTGCACTGAAGAAAAACCGCTAAAGCACGGTTAAACTATTGAACTACCCAACCATAGTCACCAACTTAGCACTTACCAGAGATCATCAAGCAACTAATACTCCTCTATGATGACAGCCTCCCCACCCTGCTGAGAACGAAAACGGACATACCCATACCTACACATGAGATCCTACTGCGACGGTATTCCAAGCTAATAACGCAGTTAAACACACATGATTAGCTCAAGATACCGCCAAAATGACATCCCGTGCGGGGGTGCTTGGTGGGCCATTCCACACTCGTTGAATCATGATGGAAATAGCATCAGTAATCCAAAACAGGGAAAAACGAATAATTGCTAACATGAACAGATTCACTAGAATATTAGCACTTCCTACACCCACTTGTACTACCACTCATCCCCAAATTCCCATCACACCCTAACTGTGGAGCACTAATCAATTTGATTGCCCACTTGTGCCACCACTAATGTGAACAAAATCAAACAAATATTATAAAACACCATGCTTTATATGTTTTAAACGAATTTAAGAACTTAATCTCAGGATTAATCCAAATCAGGCATTAAAATTCATCAAATTACAACTAATATACAGAAATTTAGCGCGTAAAAGCGTACAAAACGGTGCAAACATAGATGAGCAGCGCGACGGAGACAAAGATGACCAGCGGGACGACGGCGGCGAGAGTGTTGAAGCTGCCGCAGGCCAAAGTCCCGAGCTTGATCTGCACCACGTTGATGAGAGCCAGCATCAGGAACACGCAACCGGCCGCCGAACCGACACCCGAGACGAGCATCCCGATCCGGAGGAGGGTGCTGTTGACCCGGACGAGAATCTCGGCGGGCCGGTGGTAGGACGGGCTGCGGGTGATCCGGATGGCCTGCTTGAGGCCGAGGGCGACGAGGCTGGAGAAGAGGAAGGAGCTGAAGGAGTAGACGTGGAAGGAGACGAGATCCTCGGCGACGGAGGGACCAGGGCGGCAGGCGATGGGGTCGTCGGCCTCGATGAGGGTGTTTTCCGGGTCGGAAGGGTTCCAGGTGAGGCCGATGAAGACGGCTAAGGTGAAGAGGGAGTTGACGTTGACGATGCCGTCGAGGGCTGTCAGGTGGATGGTGGTTCCGCCGGGCATTTTGGTAATTTCGTAAGGAATCGGAGCAGTGGTGGCCGAGCTGACTAGCTGGTAAAGTTGCAGACTTGGGTTGATGGATTTGTTCTTTCGTTTTATCTTTCGTGGAAAAACGAGGAAAAGGAAAGGAAAAGAAAAAGACGGCCGTTGAGGAACTACACGTGTCACGATCGTGATGAGTTTAATAAAAAAAATTACCGCCGTTGCCGGGGATCGAACCCGGGTCACCCGCGTGACAGGCGGGAATACTTACCACTATACTACAACGACCTTGTTGCTAGGTTAGTTGTTTTACAATATTTAAAAAACAGTGTTTTACTCTTTAATTGTTTTTCTTGTGCATTCAAAATTTATTAGGTAGTGGGTACCCAAATTTGTTTTTAATTAAAGTTCTCTTCACCTTTTCAAATTAATTTTACCTTTTTCATTGTTTTTAAATATAAAGAATACCACAGGTGGGATCTTCGTTAGTTATTTAGTTATTGATTTGAAAGTCGATATGCATGCCCATCGATAAACTATTTCTGTCACCATATTTGGAGGTCCTACGTTCAAAAAACTTAACCTTGGGAGTCTTTTTGCCTTTCTTGTTTGTGTGTGAGAGAGAGAGAGTAAAAAGAGGTCATTATTGAAAATTTGAACAAGCAATCTCATATCTATATTCTATCTGCAGAAGTTTAAACAACCAATCTAATGTGTCTCTATTTTTTATCCTTTTAGCTACATTTCAAATCCAAACCAACATCTAAATAACCAGGAACTTTAACAAATACATTAAACTCCCCCAACTCTCATAAGGCATGATCAATACTTGGTTCCAGCAAGAGATTTTCTGTCTATTTCTATCTTTTCTTTCCACTTCTTGCCTCAACCACTTCAAGAGAAGACCATAATTTAATACGCCAAACCTCAGCGATCTGCTTAGTTTGATTTTCTCCCATTTTGGTGGGACGAGGAGTCCATAAGATGATCCGAAGTTTCTGTGCCGTGTAAGTTTGGTATCGAAACTGACCCTTCCATTGTGTCGCTGCAGATTCTTGCTTTTGTTTCACCACCAAGGTAATTTGTCAAGACTCTCCTCACTCCAAAGCCGCGGCGGGGAGGCTTGTCCTTGTTGGTATTGGTGTGGAGAAAGGGAGTCCTCTCTCCCCTTGCAGGGCTAATTAAAGGTGCAGGTGATAAGTTGCCTATGGCAGAAGCTCTTTTGCGAGGAGTGCTTGAGGGAGGCACTGGATATGAAACCGGGCCCTTCTTGCGAGAAATTACACTGACCGCGGTAACTGATGACAGTTTATCTGTCTGTTTTGCCAAGTCGTCCACATATAGTAAATCATCAATACGAGCCACAATGTTAAATGCCAGGCTCTCCAAAACTCTTGAATAGCTTTCAAGAATGGACTTTCCAACATCCTGAAATTTTGAATACAAGGAGTGTTATTGTTATGACAAAAATACAAGGAAATAAACAGAATCCGAGGAAATTTTTTCAAAGGAAGCAAAATTAACCTTATTGCACTGAATCTTGCTCGTGTCCAAGATAGTTTGAGTAAGACAAGGAAACCGCTGCTTCAAGGAAAGCAGGAGGCTTTCAGCTCTTTCTGCCAGTAATTCTCGCTTATCCACATCGATCACTAGGTCCTTGACCATCTCCCAAGATGACTTTGCGGAGGAGCGGTTTGGATAAGGTGGGGGCTTTGAGTGAGTTCTTCTACGCCAGACAAATATTGATGCTTCAACACGGTTTGCAATCTCTAGAGCAATATGTTCGCTGGACAGGTCAAGGCAGTCAAGCAAAATCTCTGGGGAGAATTTGTCTGATGTAATATATCGGTAAATTATGTCCCCAAGACAGGCCTTTCCATTCTGTTGATTACACATCATAAAAATTTCAACATCAGATTACAAAACTACAATCTAGATTTATTAACCTTCTATATATGTTTAGAAAAAGCATGATTGAGAAATAAATTTTAAAAGATTTGACGAAAGAAATTAATATAACAGCAATGTTCGGGGAATGTTCGGTTTGCAAACCTTTGGAAGAGTTTCCATGTATGACTCTGGAACTTCCATCTCTGCAAGAGTAATGCTGTTGATAGCCATTGCAGCTTTTAGTATTTGATTTGTGCATTCCCGCGTGTGATGCAACTGCTTTCTTGAATTTTCACTTAGACCATCAGCTGCCACGCGAGGTACAGGTAGCCACCACTTCTCCTCCTGCCGCTGGACTGTTTTGCGAAAAGAGGCTGAGCCATCTGCTTCCGGGGCTATAACTCCTTGATCAACATACCAGAACTCCGTATTGGTGAAACTATCTAATATTTCCTGGATAGAGAAACAAGGAACACTCCTAAACTCATAATGACTTGTAAAAATGAAAACTGTACATTATGAAACAATCAAGGTTTGGACTCACAAGAAGCATATTGTCTAGCTTACGCAGCCCTGGAAGATTCATAAATAGATCTGATCGGGGCCTGCAAGTCATGACCTACAGAATGCACCAGCAATAAGAAACAACAAACATTAGACGGATTGCTCATGCTTGCCACCGGTTCTCCATTCGAGATTTTGCACATTTATTTACCGTGTCATACAGAGTTATAAACATATAATCTGCATAACCATCATAGCAGGGGACCCTAAAAAGTAAGGTTATGGCATTTGAAAGAAAAAACAAGCGAAGAATTACGTTTAGGTCAGGTGAGCTAGTGTTGTGAAATCTAAGCTTCAAAATATCATTTTTAATTTTTTCCATCTTCCTAAAAGAAGGATAGAGAAAGCAAAATATGATCACTGAACAGACTTAACACTACATCAAGGATTACCTCAAGCTTTTTCCCATCAGGAAATGTTTGCCAAGAGGGTATCAATTCGACAATGTGATCGCTAACGCAAATGAGCCACTCCATCTCTCTTTTCCACATTGATTTCTTTTCAGCAGGCAAGGGTTCCAGTCTCCATAGTTGCCCAAAAATGGTAGCTTCACGTTGTATAAAATTTGATTAATTAAAAACAAAAAATGCAATATGGAATGGTTGAACTATACGGTACTATAAATTGATTCGATTAATCACAAATTTAAAAGAAGCTGGGAGGATGAACATACCACAGAGATTGGTAATGGCATTCGAAATTGTCATCGCTGTGCAAACGCCTTTGCCACAACCTGACATGTCTTCTCCAAGCAACAACTTTGAAAATCTCTCTCTCATCATATCCATCTCTGTTTGAATTTCCAACGTACCAAAAGGATTACAAAACGGGGAAAATAAGCAGAATTCCTTTTTTTTTAAAATAACTTTTAAATTGTTGCAATGTTTTCTTGAAAATTTTAGGATTTTCAAAACCCCCTCTTGGTTTTCTGAAGTAGCTCAGCTAAAAGTGAGCTGAAAACACAGTTAAGTTTCAAAATTTTGAATTCTGAGCATCTTTTTTTTTTTGGAAAATTAGGTTCACATCCTTCTTTTTGTTACTCCATTGATTAAAATCCTATTCATTTTCAATTTTTGATCAAGGTCCTTGGTATTAATAACATCATTAATTATTTGAATAATAAAATATTTTTATTTTTAAATATATTCCTTTAGTGTTAAAAATGTTACAATTAGTATATTTATATTTATGGCTAAATTTTTTATCATATATTTTTATTTTTAGTAGTACCAATTTAATTTAAATTTGCACCAATTTTTTATATTTAGTACCAATTTTTTTTCATTTTCTTTTCATTTGTACCCACATATATTAGTTTCTTTTTGTGCCCATATTTTTTTAAAGTTTTATTTTGTGTTTGTACCCATGTGTATAATACCATCACGTGACATTGTATATTTAATCAATGATAGAAAAATTACATATGGTATATTTATGTTTTATGCCTAAACTTTGTACCATAATATTTATATTTTTAGTTTGTACCCCACTTTTAATTTGCAACATTTTTTTTTAAAAAAATTTTAATTTAGTTATTTTCTTTTTAGTACTAATTTATTTTACCCATTTATTAATTTCTTTTAGCACCTATATTTTTAAAAATTCATTTGTACCAATATTTAATCTTTTTGTACCCTAATTTATTACTGATGTACCCATTCTTCTTTATAAATGTTACCACTTTGTTATATGTGAAATGACCAATTTTTTTGTACACAACCAATTTTTTAAACACTATGGACCATTTTTTTTGCCATTAATTATGTTTCTTATTTTTACATAGTTTTTATCCATTTATTCAATTAAAATGTTTGAATTTTTTTATATAACCGTTTCTAATAGTATTATAATGAAGGATTTTAAAATTTTAGGATTATAAATCTCATAAAATATCAAACAATTAATTGCAAAACTATAAGAATATAAATATTAATAGTAATTATTATGAGGTGTACAAAGTCAAGGGACCTTGATCAAACTTTGAATACTATTAAGGTTTTAATCAAAGAATGTTAAAGATTAGGGACCGCAATCAAATTATCCCGCAATCAAATTTCCTTTTTTTTTAACTTTAACCTTTTACGACTTTTCGGCAACCAAATGAAGCAAAAGATGGGGTAATTCCTAAAACTTCGACCTAACTTTGGAAGCCAAATATGTTCATGACGTTCATCAACTGGGGATTTTCGTTCAGCTTCCTCCAAATCAGCAGCCGAGTTTTTACACAGCTCAGCTTTCTTCCTGATCAGCCCGCCAGCCCAGCAGCTTTCCTTCAGTTCCTCAGCGGCGGCGAAGACCGCTCTTTTCTCTTCAGTTCCTCACCGGAAGTCTCGGAGCTCGATCGGCTCGTACTGCTAGTCTCTCTCGAGTCACCGCCGCTCGAATCGGTGAGCGACTCGCTTCCTCCACCGCCATTGTCAGCTGAAGACTTGACGGACCCAGTTCTTTTCTTCTGCAAATTCTCCCTTTTTCTCGTTAAAGACTCCATCTTTTGAACTTCTGAAAACGCCTGAGCTGCTGTTGCACAAGGAAAGCAAGGTAAATCAGCCAGCATTTAACTCAGGCGCTTTGTTCTGCCATGGATTTGGACTACAAAGCTTGGTGCATTTGAAGTTTTCAGATGATGGGAGGTGGGTTTTGAAATTTACGGAGGATTGATTCAGAAAATGGTGAAGTTGGGCATGTATGGTAGGCAAACAGTGAAGCACTCACTCGGGGTAGAAGAGGATTATATTCTTCTGAACTTCTCTCTTCATAAAATTTGATTTTTGAGTTTGAAGAGAGACGGTGGAGTCATGACTCTTGCGGGTAACTGCCAATTGTCACATGGCATGCCAACGTCTCTTTTCTTTTCTTTTCCTATCCCTTTCCCTCTCACTCTCTCTCTCTCTCTCTCTCTCTCCCTCCCTCTCACCCTCTGTGTAGAGAATACGTTCAAAAAATTAATAAAATACAGGACCATGTGGATGGTGGAGTACGGAGTTTTCAACTTGTAATTACAATTTTACCCTCAGACTTCTATTTGGTCACATTTCTATCATTGAGAATGGAGGGCAAATCTAGCTAGTCAGTGACTAATAATGCTTGGCTACTCAATGAAGAGCAATTCCTCTTCGAAATGTTTTGTGGTTAATATATGAAATTTTATGATTGTGATTGGATCCATTAATAATGTAAGTTTAGTCTGTAAATATCATCTTTGTAAAAATTTAATTAAGACAATAATCATTTAGTCAATCAGCTATAATTAATAGACAGTCGATTCGTAAGTATCGACTATGACCGCACGTAGAAAGTCATTGCTTTTATTGAGAACATACATTGCTTTTAGGTTAACCCTAGATAACTCCTAATTTGTAGAAATTTATTGAGGTCGGATGTAAATTTTTCAATGTGAGACAAATTCATTGAGGTATTGTTGTAACTATGTCACATAACTCATCCCACATTGCAGAAAATTCCATTGAGAAGGTATATTGTTTTTTATGGTGGAGTGTTCTCTTGTGGTCCCGCCCTTCTTCTAATCAAATAGTCCTACAAGTTCGGCACATGACCCTTACCGAAGATTCACTTCACTTTCTAATTGAAAGGTCTTACAATTCTCCAACACATTACAAATATACCGAGATAGAGCGAATTGACCAATCTACATGCTACTCACATTAAGTAACCTATTGGGGCTAAAATCCATTGACACTTTACATTGTTTTTCTCTTCATCAAAGAAATGGAAAAATGAAAAATCATGAGCATAAATACATGAACTTAAATGGAAGAGGCAAGTTAGGTCAAGCTTGAAATGTTGATGCTCTTAAATGGCATGAATTTGCAACCCTTCTTCCACACCCATCAAATCAACAAGTTGCACCTTGATTTAGCCAAATAATCACACATGAAATGATTCCCACAAAAAAAATGTTATCAATTGGACTACCCAAAATGTAAATTTAAATGCCATATATGCCCACTAAAATTGAGTAATTAGGTGAGGGTAGTTTGGTAATTGGATATGATTGAAATTTGAATGGGGTTTGAGATTGGATAAGTAGCCGTTTAAGGTGGTAGGTCAGTAGGTCGTGGAGAAGGAAATGGTCCATGAGCTACAAGAAAAGCACCTCGTAGAATGGCTAAAGTCCATATATAGTATTCACCTTCCAATCTTCTTTTTGGACTTTTTGCTTGAATTTTAGTAAAAAGTGAAAATCTCACGGGTTTATGAGATATTATTTTACTTTTACCCGCAAATTCACCTTTGTGTTTGAACAAAGTCGGCCCATGTTAATGTTTCATTTTTAGTGTGTATGATATTCTCGTACATGTTGATGCATTTTATAATTAGTATATTATTAATAATGTATTAGTGTATTTTTGTTATTGGCATGTTATCCATAGTGGTGAATACATGAAGTTTTCTATGGATGGACGAGGTATAACAACTTGGTGTAGTCCCTAAGTTTCTTATTGGTGGATTGGCATTAGCAATGGTAGCCGCGGAGAAATTAAGGAAAGAAGTTGAGTGAGGGGAATAAATTTGGGTGAAATTGGTTTGAATGGAGGAGAAAAGATAAAAATGGTTGCTGATTTTGGGCGGGAAAGGGAATTTGTAAGCTCACACCCCTCGTTGTCTTGCCTAGTTGTTGGGTGGGCAAAATTTGATACAATAGAGAGATTTTCCAAAGTATGGATGCGTAATTGCCCACCCTTGCCAAATTCATTGTTAGGTACTAGTAATGATATCAACACTTTATCGATACCATTATACAAGAAGGATTAAAAGGGGCTTGATGTGCTTGATTTTCAGTATTTGTTGAATTCCAACTCCCAACTTCCAACATAAAAGGTTGAAGAAGGCCTCAAGACAAAAGCCCCACCAAGTGTTTATGAACACTTCTGCATATCCCTCTCCAAGTCTCAACTGCAAAATAAAGCATTAAATAAATAAAATAAAAACATGTCTTTTGGATTGTTAATAGCCGTTAGGGACAGTGACTGCGAAAGCAGAAGCCATAAGCTAAAATCTTGGACTTTTTTGTATAATCACTTTATATCACTGTATGGTCCTCAACATCTGATGGCGGTACAAGCTGCTTTTTGCAAACGCAAAGGCATCATTTTCTTTCGGCTTTCATCTCATTTTCCCTCCTTTTCGATTCAACGTTGAGTATCGATTTTAAACCTATTGTCCTCAGTGTCACAAAAAATAATATTTAATAAACAAATCTAAATATAATTACACAAACCTATGACTATAAAGCTGAAACCCAGTAGTTTGAAAATGCCAGGAAAAAACATTTTTTTATTTTTTATTTTTAAATCCAAAAGACTCTTTCTTTTTTGAGGCCATAAAATTCAAGACTCTAAATTTGAAACCAACGGTGTTCAGCTACAGCCTCTACAACTTGTGGCAGGCTTTGTAGACGGGGGAAGTTAGTGTTGGTTGGCCTATCCCATTCAAACAAATTGAATTCTCTGGTTGCAAATAGTATCTACTTACCTACAAATCCTATGTAACTATGTGTATTATATTATGAAACAATAAGTCCAGTCCGTTTGATAAATATTTTATTTTTAATTTTAGTTGATTTTGTGTTGGAGGTATAGAAAAATAAATAAGAGAGCTGAGAGATATAAAAGAGTTAGGATTGAAGAAAGATAGTTTGGAGAGATGTAGAAAACAATGTATAAAGAAAGGTACGCCAAATGTAAACTAAAAAGTAAATACTTTATTTGGAAAAAAATGAAAAATGAAAACTAAAGGTAACTCGGGTCCAGCGGTATGTGAGGAGGTTTTCTGAGATTCTACGAGTTATTTTCTTGGTGGTTTTTCCCTGAGCTTGGGGCATCGTATCTCTTTTTATGTGGAGCTTCATGTTGTCTTTCTTGCTATGGAATTGGCTCACCCGCGAGATTGGCAAAATTTATGGCTTGAAGGTGACTCCTCTAGCATGATATCTTGTTTTGCTTCTAGTTCTTTTTCTCCTCCTTGGTCACTCCAGACACATTGGAAGAATTGTATCTTCCATTTGCAAAACGTGGTATTTCGTTGCTCTCATACGTTTCGAGAAGGGAATGCAATTGCTAACAAATTAGCCAATTTAAGGTTTATCTTGTCTTCACTTGTTTGGCATGCTGCTCCTCCTATAGACATTCTTCCTTTTCCACACTTAGATTTCTTAGGCATGTCGGCTTATAGGTTTGTCACCCCTTCTTGATGTGTGATTTTCTTTTTTACCTAATTCTTTTGGATTTTCCTTTTCGCTTTGTAGCTTGTCTTGCAGGTGCTTACCTTTTAGGTTTTGTAGGGAGTTTGGTCCTATGTCCACCCAATCTTTTTTTTATGTATTTTCTTTTTTAAGAGAGGTAAGGTCTATGTCCCTCTTTTTCTTGTATTTTCTTTTTCAAGAGGAGTAAGGTGTGTGGCCCCCACTATTTTCTTATATTTTGTTCTGTTTGTTTTATGAGAGGTAATGTTTATGTCCCCTGACTAGGTGTAACTTCTTTTTTTAATATCAATAAATTTCACTCGTACCGTCGAGGTTTACTACAAAAAATAAAAAACTAAAAAAAATCTAAAAACTAAAAATTCTCTCTCTCCCACCGGCTTTCTTCATCCATTCATTCCTCTGTACACTTTCTCTATATCTAAAGCACAAAAAATAAAATAAATAAAAACTAAAAAAACAAAATGGTTTGACCATGCTCTAAATAACACAATTATTTCTCACAAGAATTCATGGCGAGTAACTGTTGTGTAGTATTATTGAAATACTATCATGTGATATTACAAGTTAACAATTAAACTACATAGAAAATGTCAATCATACAAGTGTATGAACACTTTTAACCTTTTTTTTGAAGAATTGAGTTTAATTAACAAACCCAAGGCTAAGAAGCCAAACAGAAGCAAGAGAGCCTACGACAAGGCAAACACAACGAAACTAAGACCAAGCAAAGCAGTGAGCAGGGATACAACAACCGACACAATCACTAAGAGAGAGTGTCACCCCAAACCCACCACAACCTGCTAATGAGGGCAAGGCAGTCCGTCATTACATAATACATGAACTAACGAAGATGGGGGTCTGTCAACCCAAACAAAATCACACATCTCCGTAAGACCAGCCGACGCAAGAACATCCGCTGCCAAATTGGCTGATCTGGAACCCAAGACCAGCGACAATTCTGAAAAGCTGATCCCAACCTTTGCGCTCTAGCCAAAATGGGGAAAGCCTCCCAACTGCCATTTTCAAGAGAACCATTTAAATAGGAAATAGCCTGAAGAGAGTCAGATTCAATGATAACAGAGCTGAAACCCATCGAGGCTCCCAATTCACAACCACGCAAAATCGCAAAAGACTCAGCCACAAGAGAAGAAGGAGCCAAAACAGAAGACCTTACCGCTGCCCGGAAACGCCCACCGTCCTGCCTAGCAACCACCCCCGCAAATCCCATCCAAGATGATTTAGACCAACTAGCATCCACATTGATCTTAACAAAAGGAGAAGCAGGAGGACACCACCTGACAACAACCTCCTCCTGAGAAACCGAGACAGGCCGAGCAATACCCAAAGAAGACACAGCAAGCAAAAAATTCCCGAAGGCGGTCGACAACGAAAAAATAACCTTAGAAGGATTGATAGGAACCTGGTTAAACACAAAATCACAACGAGCTTTCCATATGAACCAACAAGAAAACGAAACATAAGCTTGGAACCACTGCCTGTTAGTCGAAGAGCCCCAGTTAGAAGAAAACACAGTCTGCAACCACCGAGCCCACGAATCAATACCGGCAGCGTCAACTTTGTAATTCAACGCTCCACCAAACCAGACAGCCGCCACCCAAGAACAGCGAAGGAAGACATGCTCCACAGTTTCATCAGCACTCTGACAAAGAGGACAAGAGGGAAATGGGGATAACCTTCTTGTACAAAGAGCCTTACCAGTAGGCAGGCCAAGATGCAACGAAACCCATAAGAAATGCCGAATTTTTTGAGGCACAGCCAGCTGCCATATGCATTTCCACAGAGTTTTAGAAATCGAACGAACAACCGGCATCCGATGATCCCTCACATCAATATAGCGAACTTGAAGCCACCTGTACCCCGATTTCACAGAGTATTTTCCATTCCGGTTAACTGCCCAAATAAGCCTGTCCTTCCACCTCGAGTCGCCAATAATCGTTTCCTGGATAGCCCGTTGATCCGCTAAAGAAAGAAACAGTCTTAGAAAATCAAAATCCCATTGCCGGGAAGAGGAGTCAATGAGGGAGCTAACCCGTAAGTTCGACGAAACAGAAACAGTACTAAGCGGCATGGGGTGCCCCGAAGGGAGAGAGGGCAGCCACCTATCCACCCAAACCCTCACATCTTCCCCACCCATAATTTGCCAATGAGATCCGCTAGCAAGAAGCTCCCTGCCCGAGAGAAGACTGGACCAAGCCCATGAAGCCCAAGCCCCTTTTTTAGCCTCCCAAAAAGAGCAATGCAGGAAGTACCGGGCCTTAATAACCCGAGCCCACAATGAATTCGGCTCCGTTAGTAACCGCCAGCATTGCTTAGCAAGTAACGCAACATTAAACTCCTGAAAATTTCTAAAACCCAGGCCACCCATATCCTTAGGAAGGCCCAGAACCTGCTTAGACACCCAGTGGATCTTTCGGTCCTGCCCATGGCTTCCCCACCAAAATCTCGCAACCAGGGCATCCAACTCCTGACAGACCACAGTAGGAAATTTAAAAATGCACATAGGATAAGCAGGAATGGCCTGGACTACAGCCTTAATTAGAACTTCTCTGCCCGCCCTCGACAACGCACTCTGCTTCCACCCTTGGAGCTTTCCCAAAATTCTGCCCTTCACATAAGCAAGGCCACGCTTTTTAGAACGACCCCAGATGGCAGGGACACCCAAATAAGTGCCAGGATTATCCACTACAGACACACCAAGAATGCCACCCAAATTGGCAGCCACCCCTTTCGGAACATTCGCACCAAAATAAATACTGGACTTCTGGAGATTCACTTTATGTCCCGAAGCTGCACAATACCTATCAATAATAGAGAGCAAATTTCTACAATAATTATCCCCCGCACGCAAAAAAAGAAGAGTGTCGTCCGCAAAGAACAAATGCGATATAATGGGCCCCGAGACACCAATCCTAACTCTCTCCAGCTGTTTGTCGTCAATCGCAGCTTGAATCATGCACGAAAGAACCTCCCCCAGAATGATAAACAGATAAGGAGATAAAGGATCACCCTGCCTGAGACCCCTGGAAGGAGCAAACTTGTTGCCTGGCTGTCCATTGAGAAGGACAGCGAAATTAACAGAAGAAACACATCCCATGACAAGCCTTCTCCACAAACAACAGAACCCCATTCTCTCCATAACCGCATCAAGGAAATCCCATTCAACTCTATCATAGGCTTTCTGCATATCCAATTTGACTCCCATTTCAAACTTCCGTTTCGCAGTTCTCCCTTTCAAAAAATGGAACATTTCATGAGCAATCCCGATATTATCTTGAATTTGACGACCCGCCACAAAAGCATTTTGGGAGGGAGATATAAGCATAGGAAGAATCACCTTTAACCGGTTTGCCAAGACCTTAGACAACACCTTGTAAGAATAATTACACAGGCTAATAGGCCGAAACTGTGAAACCGTCTCCGGATGCGGAACCTTTGGGATCAGAACAATATACGTAGCATTAAGAGAAGTCGGGCTAGACGACCCCTGCATCAGCTCCCTCACCAAAGCACAAACATCCGCATAGACATGCTCCCAATAGGATTGATAGAATATGCCTTGAAAGCCATCCGGTCCCTGAGCTTTAAGACCACCCATTTTAAAGATCGCTGTCTTGATTTCATCCTCGGACACCGGCTTAAGGAGCGCCTGATTCATCTCCTCCGACACTCTCGGGCTAATACAATCCAACAAAGATCCCCAATTCCGGGCTTCTCCAGAAGTAAACGTTTGAATAAAATGATCCTCCACCAACTTCCGAACACGACCCGGTTGCTCCACCCAGTTCTCATCATCCTTAATTTTGATAATTTGGTTGCGTCGTCTTCGTTGCAAAGTAGAATTATGAAAGAACTTTGTATTGGCATCCCCATCACGAAGTCATTTAACTCTAGAACGCTGCATCTAACAACTTTCCTCATGAGCCCTCAATTCATCAACGAGCTGAGTTTTCTGCTTAATGACTTCAATATTAGAGCGCCAATCCCTTTGAAGCTCCTGCAACTGATGAAGGAGTTCCTGAATCTACAGACCCCTCTTCATGAATTTATTTCGGCTCCACCGAATAAGACTTGATTTGCAATCGTTTATTTTCTTCGTCCACCTCCCCAAAATCTCACTCGGTTCCTGCCTACTCTAGCAAGAGCGCACCACCTGATCACAATCATTCTCCTTAGCCTAGAACGCCTCAAACTTGAACGCCCTTCGCCCCCGCATACTCTCCGAATTGGATTGAATAATGAGAGGACAATGATCAGACCCCATAACCGTCCCATGCGTAACCAAAGAATTCGACCATAAATCCTGCCAAAGCCCGTTTATCAAAGCCCGATCAATCCGTTCCTCCACCAGATGACCATGGCGCATACCATGCCAAGTGAAAGCAGGACCATTAAAATCCAAATCCCACAACCTGGTAGCCTGCATGAGAGTCTCCAGAAACCTAGGCCTGTTGTAGAGAACCTCCACTCCCCAGACTTCTCATGATCCCAAAGAAATTCATTAAAATCCCGAGCACATAGCCAAGGAATATCAGAAGGTGAAAAATGACTCGACATCCACTCCCAAAAATCAGCCTTATCCTCCCTGTAAGAAGTTCCATAAACTCCAGTAATTTGTACCCAATTATTGTCACCACCCTTGCGCAAGATAACATCAATAATATGCTTAGAAGAAAACAGAGATTGCACCTCCACTGAATCATCCCACCACAAACTTAGCCCACCTGCCCTGCCAACCGGAGAAACATTAATACCATAATGAAATACCATACGTCTCCTAACACCATTTAATCTATGATCTTTCATTTTAGTTTCAGATAAAAAGATCATAGAGGGCCGTTTGTTTCTAATAAGCCCATGGAGGACCCTAACTGCCGTGTCCGACCCTAGAACACGGCAGTTCCAAAACACCAGAATCATGGCGATCTTGCGGCTGTTGAGGGCCAGCCGCCACCACCCCGAGCCAGATTGCCCGCACAAACAGTCAAGACACAGCTCCCATTCTCCCGAGTCTGCCTCCACATGATCCCATAAATCACTTGCGTCCATAGTGCCGTCATGTAACACTTGTCTATTAGCGTCCGGGTTGGGCCCTCGAGTTTTCTTTTGCGGGGATGGAACTAAATCCATACTCAATGGCCCCACACCTCGCTTAATACCACCCACCTCATGCCGCAACAGGCTTGAGCACTATCGAGAGTTACAAGCCAAAGTCCCCGTGAACCCCTCTACAGCACCATCTGGTGGAGTCCCAGAATTTGCCTTACTAACATCCTGAATCCGAACCGAATGCCCTCCTTCTCCCCCCTGAAAAACCACTTGGTTAATAACTGACGGGAAACTCCCATCACCGCACTCCCATCTCAGCTGGCGATGAAGCTGAGGCACTACCACCTGAATCTGACTAGCAGGACAAGCATGTCGCTGAACCTTACGCCATTTCTTCTTGTCACGTACATGAGAACCATGCTCCCCAGCAGTAACCCCATAAGTGTCTTTCCTACTCGGAATCTCACTGTGGATCGAACGCTGCAACCTCAACTCAGGACGATCTCCGCCCCTAACCATTCCAACCGTCCTCCGTTCGCCTACTCCTAAACGCGACGGGCGCACATGCTCCACAAACTCGCGCACAGGGGGAGCTTTTAACCTTTTAAGAGCAACTTCAGCCCTACCTAATTGCCAAGTGAATTGAGGAATTCAATCCCAAAACCCAAAAAACCCTTTCCACTCATCTAAAAATTCGGATAACTTGTGGGGCCAAGGATTCATAACCAAGCAAGTAATCCCTTCTTGTGTCAAGCAAGTGCATTTCACGAGTGAGTTAGGCACGTCAATCGATCAAAATCAGTCGGTGGGGCCTGCATTGTTGGCACACTAAGCCCATATGAACATGGGTGACATGGACATTTCTCGTCTGTTGGATTTCTAATGGTTTAAAATTTTTGAATCAAACCCAATGGTTAGTAGAGATAGCACAACGTGGTTCATTAGATTTGTAACGGCTATCTATCATACAGTCCAGATTTTTATGCCTAAATAAATAAAAATAAGGAAACATCTAAAGAAGAAAAAATCCCTTATTACTATTCGGCCCACGTGGCACAATATGGGCTGATGGACTACAAAAAAAAATGTAATCTAATTGTCCATGTTAATTAGGTTAAAAAATATTCATAAAACATAAACAAATTCAAAAAATGCAAAATATTAAAATTAAATTTTTTTTTCTATAAATATAGATACCCCACCATCCTCTTTCACCTAACACCACATTTCAATATTTCTAAATACTTTCAACCAATATTTCTCTCAAACCTTCCAAATACTTTTATCTGCAAAAAATGGCTAATGATATAGGCTGGAATTGGTCAATTATTAAAGATGTTACATTGTGTGAATGTTGGGTTTGATTTTCCCATGAGTCGATTACAGGTAATGAGCAAAAGTTGCATCAACTTTATTATTTTGGATAATGACATGTGGCATGAAGAAATTGGTTAAAAATGTTATATGGAATTAAACATAATATTATCTTTTTGTTAATTTAAAAATAAATAAAAAACTTATTTTTTGATACCAATTGTCCTGAGGCCATCTCCAACCGAATGGGCCAAAGGGCCAAATGGCCGAAAATAGCTCAAAAACCGTCTCCAACCGAGGGCTAGGCCAGAGAGCTCTGGAATCTGGGAGGGCCCCACGGGATCGGAGATGGCTGAAGGGCTGGAGGGCTGGCTGCATGCAACCAGCCAGCCCGGGGCTGGCTTTATTTTTTAAGGTTTTGTATTCATGTCGGTTCTAACCAACAGGAATAAGTGTAACGACTAGCAGAATATTATTAATTACTATTTGTGTCAGTTATAACCGACACGAATAGTATGAACAAATTTGAATCCAACAGTTGGCGCCAGTTACCGTTGGATTCAAATATATATATATATATATATATATTATTTTTTAGGTTTATTGGGCCTTTTTTTTTTAAAAAAATCTATTTTTTTTCCTATAAATTCCTAAACCATTCATTAACCATTCTTCACAAATTTTTCACCATTCCTACACCATTTCAATTCTCATATTTTCTTTCCTCTTTCAAAAATCTATCCCTCAATTTTTTCGATAATTTTCAAACTTATATTTTACAAAATTTGGTTCATATTTTTTCGTATAACTTCTATTTTACAAAATTTATTATTTAAATTGTAATTTTTAAATAATAAATTATGTTTGGCCCTATGACCTTTTGGTCCACGGTTGGAGACGGTTTTTTGTGACAGGGCTATAACGAGCCCTCTGACCCTCGGTTGGAGACGGAAGCAAATATGGCCATGTACTGTTCATTAAAATATTAATATCTTAGAGAATCTTGGAGGGTTATAAGGGTAAAACAAGCCCTCTGACCAACCCTCCGTTGGATATGGCCTGACAATTCATGTAAGGAGTGGAGATATGGTAGGAAAATTACTGTTTACTAAAGTAATATAGTGACCCATAGCCCATATTTCTTTCATATTATAGCCCAATCCATCAGTACAAAAATCCCACTGGGCCTTCTTCCTTCCTCCTCTCCCCCTCTCTCCCCCCCTCTCTCTCCCACCTGCAACCATAGTCTAAAATATCCATAATATCCCGATATTTTCATCGAAATTTCCGTGTTTTTGGACTACCGATATTTCCGATATCATCGATATTTTAGACCTTGCTAAGTCACTCATGTATCTTACCATGCAATGTATAAAATGTAAAATATTGTACTAATTCATTATATATAAATGATTATGGTGTGTTTAAACTTCTTTCATTAATTACTACATATTTTCTACAATCACAATGTTTGTCAGCTCGCTATATAATCAACTTAAATCAGTTATATCTATCATGCAATGCATTTGCTTCCAATTTTTTGTGATAAACTAATAGATAATTGACTAAATAAACATCCTGCAAAGTTTCAATAAAAATTTTCAAGTTTTTCTTACAATTTCCATGGTTTTTATTCAATTTTGATCGATATCGATAATATCTTGATATTTCCATTGAAATTTAAGTATTTTTAAACTACCGATATTTTCGATATCATCGACATTTAATACTTTGGCTGCAACCCATTTGCCAATTTGCTGTTAAACCCAACATTTCTCATCCCCAAAACAAGAAATATTTTGTGTGGCGAGTCCGACAACCGTAAATTTTCTGTCAATTTGGGCAAACAAAACAAAGCACAAAAATATTTAAGAGCTGAAAAAGAGAAGACATGGAATTTAGAATCTGAATGTTTTTCCAGGCAGGATCCAGTCGAACAAGGACATAGCCAGCAGACAAGGATTCCTTGGAACTCTGCCGTCCTTTCCTCTTCCGTCGTCTTTTCCCTCAAAGGTTATGTCTATTTTTTTGTTCATCATTCGCTTTTCGATTTGTTTTATGAAATAATTGGATTTTGATCTGAAATTGTAGCTGGGTTTCTTTGCCTCCGACCGTTGCGTTGGTTTTGATAGCTCGGATTGCAAAGTATTGAGCTTTATTGTCCTGTTTTCGATGAATTATTCAGCTCAATTATTGGTGGTCCTTTTTATTTTATTTTATTTTATGGTTCATTTGTTTGATTTAGATGTAAATGTTGAGCTATTTGTCGAGTAATTGGGCCATTTTGATTGCGGAAACTGGAAGTTTTATCAAATTTATGGAAATTGATTGGTAATAATTTATGGTTTTGGCATCCGATTCGTCAGAATGTTTAAAGCTACGTTCTTGTGGGCATCCCTTAGCTTCATTCCAAGTCGGAAACCCTGGTTTTCCATTTGAATTGAATAATTGAATGCAAATGGCGTCGCGGCTAAAATTTCCGGTAATGCTGACGGCTCGGTTTGATTCATGGATGAGACTGGCCAAACTCGGCTTGATTCTGTCTCAGTTTCCTTAGAATTAAGGGACTGTTTGGGACTGCTTCTGGAAGGGCAAAAGGCGCTTTCTGAATACGTTTTACCGAAAAACTTAAGAAGCACTTGGACTTTAATAAAAGTTTCCATGTGTGTTCTGATAAAAGTACTTATAGAAAAAGTGCTTATGAGCAGAAGTGCTTCCCACAGAAGCAGTCCTAAGTGGGCCCTAAATAGCCTAACTGAATCTCTAGTAGTCGTTCGTGCATCATGCCCTGGCAAGGGGCAAATGCACATTGTTTGATTACGTCATTTTTTTCGTGGTTGGAGAAATCAATCTCTCGTTCCTCTTTGTTGTTTAGTTTGTAAACCTGATATATTCCTATGTTCAAAATGCAACAGGTTGCCGATATATACCCTTTAAAGATTTTACAGGGATAACCAAGTGAAATAACCACTTTGATTATCTAAATATCTGAGATTTAGTGTGGCAGTGAAAACCCTTATCGAATTGGGTCACACATGTGGCCTTCGTATTTTTTATTCAACAAGATTCTTAAGACAGAAGATGAAGATGTATCAGATGGAGAACTTTCAGGCATGGTAGAACCCTACCCATGTGAACAGCCGTTGCCCTGCTCGCACTTTGTTGAAGTGAGTGCATTGAGATTCTGTCACTACCTTTCTTATTGATTGTCTACATTGAAATTACAACATTTTTCAGTCTGTACTCTGATAACAATATATGGATTCCAAGTGGACACGTCAAATCGTTTTGTTAGTTTTAATTTGTTTAGGTGTTTGGTGCTTATAGGTCCCGCACATAAACCAGCAAGATTCTTGGGATTGCGGCCTTGCCTGTGTTCTGATGGTCTTTCGGACCGTTGGCATAGACAACTGCGATATTCAGACATTGGCACAGCTATGTGGCACAACTAGGTGTTCCCTTCTTTACAGAGTTAGAACTTCATTTCCTCTTTTGTTAGTCCGTTATGTACTTTCTTTTGAGTATTGTTCTTTAGAATTTTATCGTTTTTATAGGAGTATGGGTTTTGAGATTGGTGAGGATAGAAGGTGTAGATGAATGAAATCCCTTCCTCGACTCAGTGTTGAAGCTTTTAATTTTTGTTGCTATATTAATGTATTCTTTCCTAGAAGGTCTTATTTACAGAAGGACATGCAGTATGTTACAGAAATGAGTACTATAGGTATGGGGTGTTATATGAATGCTTGATACCTTCTTGTTGCTAAAAGTTTCAGTTAGAGTTATACTTGATACATCAGTCACATATGCAATACAAACTTATATGAAAATTTGTGATATATTATTGTTTGCAGCATTTGGACCGTTGATCTAGCATATTTATTACAGAAGTCTGTTATGTACTTTCCTTTGAGTATTGTTCTTTGTAAATTGATTGATGTGTATAGGGTTCTGAGTTTGACGATTGGTGAAAAGTCGCAGATGAATAAAAGCCCGTCGTCCTCGATCTAGTGTTGAAGCCACTAGAGTTTAACTTGTATTATTGGTTTATTTTTTCACTAAACGTCTTATTTACAGAAGTGAGTAACATGAAACGCTAGTCGTTTTTTCTCACTCATTTTTCCACCAACATAAGACTTTATTTACTTCGTGTATTGTTCATACAAACAAATATTATTTTTGTGGAGTTGGAATAGCTATGGTCCTATGGAGCATTATGGGTTTGTTTGTGTGAAGTTGGAATAGTTATGGAGTATCGTGCGTTTGAAGTTAGACTTATACTTGATTCATCAGTGACATATTCAATAAGAGCTTCCGTGAAAAGTTTCTGATATAACTGAGTGCTGACATCTTGTTTGCAGCATTTGGACTGTTGATCTAGCATTTTTATTACAGACGTTCTCCATTAGTTTTTGCTACTACACAGTGACAGTTGGAGCAAACCCAAGTTATTCAGGGGAGAAATTTTACAAGGTGATTTCATACTATTAACATAGATAAGTGTTAACTGACAGTATTTTCGTGCTGGTTAGTATGAACTAGACCATATTGGTTGTTTGCTAGATCCAGATGCACATCTTAGCCTAATTGTCTATCAATTATAGATGCATATATCATATGAGAGCGAGGACCCAAACTGCATATAAACAAGAACATCGTCTGTCACAATTTCCTGGCATTAGCCGAACTTTGATTATTTAGCAATGAGTGGCACCTAAACTGCATGATCATGAATGCTACTTAATGTGTTTGGTATCTGCAAAAGAAATGAGAAGTTGGTTATTTTATTTTATTTTGAAAAGAAATCTAGTTTTGGATATAAAGATTGTAGTTTCACTATTCTTAGTTCATGTACTTGTGAGCTTGTCTTTTCACATCTGGATGCACATAAAAATTTCAATTAATTATATTTATTCTGCAGGAGCAATTACCTAATGATCTGGAGCGAGTCAATAATCTATTTCAAAAAGCACTGGAAGGTGGAATGAATATACAGGTATAATTGCTATCTGCTAATTTCAGTTCTTGGTTCTCTCTTCCCAAATTAAGAGCCAGACATCCTTTTTACTTATAATTTTCTTAGGACAAGGCAATAAACCTTCCTTCTTTTGTTTACAGCGCAGATCAATCAGTCGACAAGAAATTTGTTTCGCAATTTTGTCCGGGAAATACATTGCCATTGTTTTGGTTGATCAGTATAAATTGAGGTTCAAATTTCTCACTTACCCTTCTTTCTTTCTTCCCCCTTGATTGAGAACTTTCCTTTACTGCTTGCAATAATATATGACATGCATGATCAATTGTAAATACTGGGCTAATGGTAAATATTTCTGTCAAAATTGTGTCACAGTAGGTCTCGTCTAGACGATGTTTTTGTCTCAGACTTTTGTGGAAGCAACTCTGGTTACACAGGTAGGACTGTTACTTTGGTTGTGCAGGACTGTTACTTTTAGTTACCCTGGCTGTTCTATTCTGAACTAAAAGTTTTCCGCCACTCAGTACTGAGTACGACAGATTGTGCTTTCTAGGGGGAGATATCTATGCTGTATATGTATTAGTTCAGCAAAAGAAATAAAAAAGGACATAGATACATGTAAAAGGACAAGCTTATGCTTGTTTTAGCTTAACTTCAAAATTTACTTTTGCACCAATGTCATCCTGGAGATTGTAAGCATCTTTCTGCACATTTTATTTATTGCTTAGCAAGACAGGTTGGCTGACCTCTTCTGTTCAGAACCATGATAACATAGGCCTGTAATTCATGTTAATGTCATTCCATTTCCAAAAAGTGAGAACGGTGGTTAGCTATGAGTTAATTCCTCATAAGATATTTCTTTAACATGATTTCCCCAGTTCTTCTGAATTAACAATTTATGGAATCATATTAAATAAACTTAAAGGCTTGCTCTATGCTGGAATGAAGTATCTTTATGCACGTCCGGATTATTCACTTCTGCTCCCAGTCACATCCTTGAGAAGTTTGCCTGTTTATGCACGTCCTGAATGGATTACTGATTAATGCTATTGTTTTTGGTTTTTTGTAGGTCACTATGTTGTCATATGTGGGTATGACACTACCACGGATGAGTTTGAAATTAGAGATCCGGCCTGTTCAAGGTATTATCTTCATTTCAGGTTTTTTTTTTCCTTCCCTTCTTTTTTGGGAAAGAAGAAGAAAAGCTGTTACCTTATCTTCTATTGATGCCTTTGGGTCATCTACATTCGTGTTTAACTTTCTCGCTGAGTATAAAGCATGATGACAGACACATCAATTTGGAGATTACCCGGCTCCAACAATTTCTTGAAATTAGTGGAGTATCATGAGTATGACATGCTAACAAATTCCAATGAAATAAGAGAGACGTCAAAAGTAGACACTTCCTGCCTTGACTAATAAGTTATACTGACTAGAAAGATTTGAGTGATGAGTTATGAAAACCCAGCATATGATAAGTTTAAGTTTGTCAAAACTCTTAGAGAGGCATCCTATGATAATCTGGCTTTCGTGATTTCTTAAGTCTTAAGTTCATCATGATTTCCAATCCAACATCACATAAACCTATGTTAATTAATTTTATTATTTACACCAAGTTCATGATCATATCACATTCCTATTATTGGGTTTAAAGTCTAGCAACTTGAGTGAGTAGTACTCCACCATAAGAATAGTTAAGAAGATCCGATATACATTAAGACTGCAAACGTTACTCGGAAAGGCTGCATTATGCTTGCATATAGCTGAATAGTGCTGAAGAAGTCAAACCAGATGGTCATTATCATCCATCACATGTTTCCTTACTTAGAGTGGGGAAAGACGTGGTTGTTCAGGTAAAAGGATAAACTACCCCTCCCTTACGATATGATACCTGGTTGATTTTTTGGTCAATATGATTGATACCTGGTTGATTAGGCATGGGAAAAATGATTTTAATGTGGGGCCACTCATTTCTTATTCCTTGTGTGATAGTAAACGCAGGATATGTCAGGAATGGGAATGAGACCCATACCATCCATACCCATTCCTGGTGAGTAAGCATGCCCCTCAGTGAGTTTTGATTTTTTATGTCAATAGTCTTCGATTTGAAATTTACACACGCATCTGCGCTACACTTTTGATTGTCTTTCCAAGTTCTTTTAGTTTATAGAAGTGTACACTCTGATAAAATGTGCAGGAAAAACGAGAGGATCTCATCAACATGCTTAGAAGAAGCCCGCAAATCCTTTGGTACTGATGAGGATCTTCTCTTGGTAATCCAAACTGAGCGTTCACCTTGTTGTGCGCTTCGGTTGCTATATAAGTATTATTTAGTTGCTAGGGTGTTAGTAACTAGTCCTGAATTCTTTCCATGGCACTAATCCAAGTAAATTCACCTGTCACAAACCTCTAACGGTAGTAACTTCTCATTTCGTGTGGGATGTCGATGCAGATATCTCTGAAGAAGAGTGGGAAGCAAAATCGCCCGGCAATACAACAGTGATAGTATTGATTCCTGACTTCAATTGTCGGTCCGTATGAAAACGAAGAAGCTTATATTTTACAAGTTTTCGTGTATAGCATTAGCATGTACCATATAGGGAAAAATTGTTTCTCTATTGATTTGTTTGAGCTCCTGAACTGGTTGGATGAACGTGCAAACCAACACCAACACGCATCGAGTAATTGTACATCATGTAACATGTATTTTGTATTACTCTCCCCATTTCCTGATAGATTCTTCTGTCTCAATAAAGTAGAATCACATGACCCTTCATCGAGTTCATCTGTATTCCTTCTTCAGTAATTTAAATTTCCATTTGTCATATTGTTATTGTAATTGCAGTTTTCACCCTTTCTCCGCCCACCATGTGATGAGATGTGTTTATTTATCCATCTCCTGGCTCAAAATTACAGTCTAAAGTGAAAAAAAAGAAGACCATGAGGTTTTCTATAACGCTCGATCAATCGTGCTGGATGATGGCAAGATATGAACCACCAGTTGATTAGTTGCATTATGTTGATCGATCGAGTACTCACATTCTACAACTATCTTGCAAGATTCTATATAATATATCCCATCGCGGTAGGGGACCAGGGATACTTAAATTTTCAGAGTGCACTTGTGATCCAACTGTTAATTTCTTCAATACAAGCATGCAAGTAGTGATGTAAGCCATCGTTTTCGAGTCGACTTTATCATAGTTCTGAGTTCATGCGCTCCTCCTCGGAGCTGTAAATATGGAGAGCTAGCCCTACAAAATATCAAAACTTAGCCATAAGCGGACTTCGTGTGACCAAGTATTGTAACATACCTACATACATGCTTGTGGGCCTATATCAAAATGCATGTGTGTCCGACCTTGGAACTTGGAAGACACGCATGCGCGGGTGCACGCAGAAAGAGAGATTATTCAAGCTATGGTTTAATGAGTTCCCTTTTTTTAGACTATAATCTAAAAATATTGTGGTCATCCATCGTGCTTTTAATCTAATGATCGAGGAGAAAGTACAACAACAAAAAATTAAATAATTACTTACCATTGAATTAGGATTGAATTATGAGTGATCACAATTTCTTTAAACCGAAAACATGACTGAGGGTTTACTATAGCCCTCGATTTGGGGTATTTTCCTTCTTTTTTTTCTCGGCATTTGAGACACTGACTAAGAACTGTGTGATTATTAACTATATTAAATTTTGGCATTATTAAGATGATGGTGGAGGAATTGGTGGAAATGGAATATGCGTGGAAGATCGAGTTAGGTCAAAAGAAGGTGATGAATATTAGGGCAAAGTGCACTGGCACACCAGGCAACATCTACATAGTATATAATATGTAGTTCCAAGAATCTCAGAAAACAAAGATTCCGACAGCTGAAGCCTCTTCCCGGAGAACAATGAAACATGTCTCTCCATACACACACCCCATTACTTGGTGTATTGTTCCACTCTGTCATTTTGTATGGCAACTATATGTTGTTGTTCTATTATTATATGCTGCTCTTTTCCTTTTTGTTTTTAGGGTTTTGGAAGAAGAATGGTATGCCATGCTCTCATCTGTGCGACTATGTGATTCCAAATTAGAAAGTAGAATATCGTGTCATTGTCACAAAATTTCTTTCGCTAACTCTAGAATGCGTGCCCCTTTTTAGCTGGAATCCCGATTCACTGTATAATAACAAAATGACGGGGCTTCCGTACGAACTATGTATTTATCGTATAAGACTCTCGTATTCTAGAGCAAAAGAATAGAGAAAAAGAGAGATATATAAAAGAGATCATATATGGTGACAGTGTTCCTACATTGGCCCATATGTATGCTGGTTGCATTAAAATGGGATACTTGCTTGCTTTGAAGCTAATCCCTTTAATATTGAATCAACAAAATTTCGGTCCAATGCTATTTTTCTTTTAGGGATAAAAAACTTAACATCAAGCAATGTAGTTTGACATGGTTTGACATGGCTAGCGCCAATCATGTTGGTTCAAAGATGTGTAGCCAAAGGAATGAGAAAAATGCTCGTCTGGGACTAGAGTTTGACATGGCTAGCGCCAATCATGTTGGTTCAAAGATGTGTAGCCAAAGAAATGAGAAAAATGCTCGTCTGGGACTAGAGTATATCTTCGAGTGAGTATATCACTCATCGCGTAACTCCAAAGATATGCAAGAATCTCTTTGGAAGAATGTGCTTAAACCAAAAAAGGGAACTGCATGTGCATTCTCTTCTTGCCCTGGTTGGAACGTGGAAGCACCCTCTATGCGGGCTTTGCGAAAATTGTACTTAGTTGGAAGCACGTATATATGCCCTGTATCAAAATGTGAGACACACACGCATATCTAGCCTCTGTTACTGATACTATTCCATGCATGCATTTCTGTATTAGATCGATCCAATAACTTAGGGTCCAAATTCATTGTCAATCCTGCGCAATATTCGGTTGCATATGCATTTCTGTCCTAAACCCTAAATTCAAAATTAAATTTGTAGGGTAGAGATTCTTGGGGTTTTCCGTTGCAGTGGTGGGTGCAGAAAATATGATTTGGAGGTCAGTAAAAAAGAGGGTGAGCAGGGCGTAAATTTTTTTTGGACTAAATATAGCATGCAAATCGACATTTCATCGAGTTTTGGTATGCCTAAAGTCATTTTCAAGTCATACTGCACACCTATAGAAAGTACCAATAGTTTCTGAATGAACATGTCGATAGCTTTTGAACGAGCATGCTAACAGATGCTAACATATGTCAAATGAGTCATTCAAAAGATGCCCATAGCAACGCATACATAGGCATGCGGCTAGCAGCTACCCTGGCCAATTCTCATAAAGGCTATTTGTCAAAACAGTTGGAGGATAGCTTTCAAAGGCATCTCAAATTTTCAAAGGGCAGGACTCAGCTCTTCCATGGAGTTTTTCTGAGCTTTGGGGTTTTTTTTTTGGGGGGGGGGGGGTCTAAAGCTGGATCTACCCAAGGGCGGAGCCATGAAGGGACCAGAATGGTCCCAGGCATACCTTGATATTTTTTTTATAGAGAAATAAATTATAATTATCCTTCTGATTTCCAAAGATTTTTCAGGGGATTGGGACCTCAACCAGAGGGAGAGAGAGGACGTAGGCGAGAAAGCTGTTTCTTTTAATCTTTTTCACATGGTTCTGGTAGTTGTTGACATATTTGAATTTTGCTTCCATCCATGTGCAATTTTCATGTTCTCGTTAGTTATTTCTATTAGGTTTTTCTTCGTCAATTAACATGTCTCCCAATTGGTCAAAATGTACTGATGAAATGGAGTGGAATTGAAAAATCAACACCGTTGTCACCGAGCAAACAAACATCAAAATGAGCATCAAAGTAGTGGTTGAGAGGATGACCAGACGATTGATGCATGAGACAATGGCTTCGCAAGCGTGATAGAGGGATTTTCGAGCATGTTGCAGCATTGTTTCAGCTGCCATTGTCGTTGGTGTTGCAGCGTTTTTTTTAACAGCTGTGAGAGGCCCCTTCTAACCTAAAATCCTAGCTCTACCACTGTCTACCCCTGTGTACTCATGAGTCTATTCTTCTGATTGCATGAATGAGGCATAGTAGTTATATACAACCAGTGAAAGGACAAACATGTTGTAGCAAATCACGTGATGAGATAAATAAGCACATAGTTATATACAAATCAATGATGACTGTAGGGGCATCGGTGACATGATATTTGTACATAATTACAAAGCCAAATTCGTTGAATCAAGAGTTGCTATCAAACTTAACTATATGTGGAGAGATTTTCAGTGTGACCGGTACACATGACGGTACATCACGTATCACTATACAAATAATGGGATATGTGTGCTAAAAAGTTAATAGCTTAAAAAATAAAATTTCACCTATATGTGGCTTAACCAATGCAACTTTCTTCCAACTATGAATGCATGTCGTATTAATTAGGCGTGCATGATTAGGCTCACATACACAATAATGCAGTTCTTGTATGACTCAAAGGGATGTCAGAATCTTTGTTTATAAGGTTTGATCGTGCACAATAATGCAATGCTTATCTGTTTAAACAAAGGGCGTGAGCACATGTGATCAGATGAGTCCTACCCCCTCAAGCAACATGTTTGGAATTGTTTTTTGTTTTTTTTTTCTTTCTATTTTATTCTGAGAAAAGGTTTAGAAAACGATTTAATGCTTGATTGGTAAGATCAAAGTTCTAAAAAGCGCTAAGCGTTAAGTCGGGTTGTGAGCAGTAGCTCTATGAACATGTACTAGAACCTTTTTTTTGGGTTTCTGCATAACATATGCATAGACAAAGTATTTTTTGTTCGGAGGGTAAATTAAGAGAGAAATTTCTTGTAATCAAAGATATCATGTGAAAAGTTTATTATCGGATAAATAGTGTACTTTAAGGGTGATGTCGATAAGTGTAAATCTTATTTAGAAGAGAAAAATCTCCTGTAAATTAGGTGCCACCACCACTTTTAGTAATATTCATATCATGCTATCAAGTATGAAGTTGGAGTTGTTCCAGAAAATCTCAGATGTCATCATATTGATCACGCTAACATGGTCATTAGAGACATAATTAAGGTGTGGGGGTTTGCTGAAACCCACCCCAAATTCGAAGGAAAAAAATGTCATATAAGAGAGTAATATTTTTTTTAACAAACAATATTTTCTATATTAAAAAAAATAAAAAATAAGATTAAATCTTACAATTTACTAGCAATTATATGTTCGTCGCCCAATTTATTTACATAAAAGAGTAATTCAAACATTAATTTCTATCACTTAATTTAATTAAGACAACTCTTACACGTACGTACTACGATCATTAGTGAAATAAGTCATACCAAACACGTATCGTATATTTTTGTAAGAGATTTCGATAGTAAACATTTCCATTACCCTTCGCAAGACTATGACCGACCAAAGCTATTGCGTGTTTGTTTGGTCATGTGATGTCTCTGCCTTGATTGAGTGAAACGGTATCAACTTCTACGGCATAGTTTCGAATTTCTGACCATTTCTGAATATTTGAATAGGCACCATCTTTTGGAGGCAATTGAGGAAAGACTTATTTTGACTGAGTTACGTAAATAAAATCTAATTTCAATAGCATAAGTAATTGAGTTTGTAAATTTTGTTACTCTCTGCCTACAATATCATGAGCAGATAAATCGGCCTACTTATATTTTTTTATAATAAAATATTTAAGTGTGTTTGGAATGCGAGGCAACACGTTATATATTATTATGCAATTGGGGAAACTTTTTCTTTTCAAGTGTTCTTTCAATTA